AAGGGCAATAGAAAAATAAATGTTCAATATCTTCAACAGATACATTACAAAAGGTACATTTATCACAAACACTATGAATATATCTGCTAACAACTGCATTTACAGGATAATATCTGAATAATTTTGTAAAGTACTTATTTTACTTTATTAGAAATTACATATTTATATGGTAACATCCAAATGCTGTGCCAAGATATACAATGAGGTTTAAGCCATTTTGATTTACATGGAGGATTGGATCCGACATTAAGGGAGTTTCTTATAAAACTGTTATTAAAACGCTTGTCAAAAAAGGAGAGACCATTTACAAAAAGTTGGAGATTTTGTAGGCTTGTATTATTAATATTTACATCAGAGAATTTGGTTAAAATTATTATGCCACTAGGAATAGCCTTGATTACTTTGTTAAATTCTTTTTCGTTTACAAAAAAGCCATATTTTGTAATAAAATTAGGGTAAGTGTATAATTGCCCATTCTTGTCAATAAGCTGGTTTACAATTAATATGTTATGCCGAACCCAATTCTCCATATACAATGACTTGTTATTATGAGTGATATTACCATTGTTCCATATAAAACACCTGCTAGGAGAAAAATTGTGTTTGTACAAAAGTGACCAGTAAAGTAATGCTTGTTTGCGATAGTTGGCCAAAGCAATGGGAAGTTTGCCAGTTATATAAGGACGCTGCAACAAAAAATATAATCCCCCAAGTTTTTCAAATAAATGATATGGGACAATATTTGTTTGATTTTTTAAAAAGTTTTTAAGCCAATTAATTTTTAAAATTTGGTTGAAAATTGTAAAATTAAGAACATTTAACCTACCATCAGATAGTTTATTAACAAGGACACTTTTTTATTTTATGAGGCTTGTTTCTCCAGATGAAATGAAAGAGTATTTTGTCCATTTGTGAGCATCTAACCTTTGGGGCACTAAGTGAAGACAGGAGGTATGCTGCTCTCGATGATGCAACATATTTACAGAAGACCATGGAGTGACTGTAAAACACTAATTTCTAGTAGGATTGACAGCGGAACTAACAGCTAAATCACTAGGATTAATTTTAGCCTGGATGTTAGCCTGCTCTCTAAATCAGCCAGGACAGTTTTTAAAGCGTTTTTGAAAAATCACTTACTCTGCCTTTAATCCCCTATCTTGCTTTTGTGCAATACCCCTCAGGAGTCCAAGGGAGCTCTGGCGCCCCCAAAACAAACCAACAAAACCCACAAAAAGTACGTAAATGATGAAGCATGCTTTCTGTGAACTGTGACTTGAACATGGGCTTAGAGTGTTGTTTCCGAAGCTCTCAAACTGGTGCTCAACATTTACAGCAGTCAACTCCTTGTGCCTTTACTCCGATACGTTGACACGTTTCTTTTAGAGCGTATATATATATACATAGAATAATCACAGAGCGTTAATATATATACATAGAATAATCACAGAGCGTTAATTTCGTGTGTTGTAAATATTGTTTCTGCTTGTGTGACCCCTCTAAATTCAAACTAACACCAACCTAACATGGAGAGGCGCACGTCTCCCCTTCTCCTCTATCAGCGAACCACGCCTCGTGCTGCCTTCTAACGCCGGCCATATTGACTATTTTAGCTAATCTCCTTGCGGTAGGTTGTAGAGCTTCTCTAACCATCACCGTTATAACAGTGTTGCGTGCCATCGGATATACAGTGATCGCAACGTGGAAATAAAAGTTCGCCTTTATCTGGAGTGTGGCTACATCGTGGGGGATAATGTCATTATTTTAGAAAACGCAGTGTTTTCCTGTGGTGAGTTTTTTTCGGATTATTTTTGAGTGTCTTGTCTTCAGCATGTTCTGCGTAAGCTTTCTTCTAAGGTCTCTCTTGTCTTTAAGCCGCTTCGATAGCCACAATCTCCGCAGAAAGCAAAGCAGCGTTTGCTGGTTTGTATGGACGATCCTCCAAGCCATTTTAAAAGCCCAGGGGCCTCATTTATAACCGTCGCGTTCGCACAAAACCTGCCCTGAAAGAGGCGTACGCCACTTCCTACGCAAAAGGTGGGATTTATAAAAACAAACTTGACGGGAAAATTTGCGCACCTGCACGCAAACTCTGACCCATGCGTACGGACTTTTTTTTTTCCCTTGAGAGAGAAAAGTAATGAAGTAAACAATGATTTCAAACTCAGTTTTCATGTCGATATACACATTTACATTAAATATTCCACTCTCATTAATGGAGAAATTACATAACTAAAATTACATAAAGACATTACACAGAAGTTAAGCCAAAATTATAGACGTAGCCTATTGATCACTTTTCCTGTGACATGCTGTTTTGCCAGCGAGGAGTGCTATGCGCACAATAATTCATCTTTAAATCAAACTGCAGATCAAATATTATGAGAAAATATTTTTAGTGAGAACAATGATCAATGATGCACACTTACTTCGATATTATGGCAAACATTGCTGGATTTGGTGGTCGGACGGTCCATTGTCCGGTTTGAATAGGTAATAATACTGTACAACCGCAGCTGCACGTGTTGTCTTGTGAAGGCATCTCCACAACATTATGAAAAGTACCACTGTTTTTGAAGGATACAACTCGAAGAAA